AGTTTTTAAGGGATTTAGTTAGGACTTCCTCCTAACTGTTGTCCTTGCTAACTCGTTTAAGTACTACTGCTTCGCGGCGCTTAGTCTTTTGTTTAGCTAAAGCGAATTATTGTTTATCTTTAAGAGGGGCTTTCCCTCTATTCTTATTCTAAGAGTAGTCCCTAGTGAGGTAGCCGGCTTTACTATAGGTATAGTATAAGCCCTTCTCTCGTCGTTTCTATTTCTTAGCTTAGCCCTTGCCTCCTCTCTTAGCCTTATCTATTTCTATTGGGTTATAATAACTCTGTTTATTATTAGGGTAGAGTTAGAAGTTTCCTCCTCTCTTCCTATATTGTTCCGGGAACTGAGGCTTCCTGTATTAAGTAGGGGTAAAATACCCTCTTTTTTCCTTCTATTGTTCCTAGATCCGTTTGTCGATAGTTATAGCTATTTTAATTATTTCCTCTAGGCTATCGGGTTTGTCGGCCTTAGAGAGTTCGTCTTTAATATAGTCCTTTAGGCCCTTATAGTACTAGGCTTTTAAACCACTATCTGTCTAGTCTAGTCGTATAGAGTAATAGTAGAACTCGGTAGTGTATTCGTGAACAGATCCTTGTTAGCAGATACTAAGTAGGTGTTTCTTAGACTATTCTTTCTTATTAGGGTCTTTGAAGACTCCCTTGATAGCTGTAGTAAATCCTGTGATAGTGCGGAAGATAACGCGACTCTTCTCGGTTATAGTAGTAGAGCAAGCTCCGGTTATATATCAGTTGAGAAAGTAGTCGCTAAGGGCTAGTTCGATCTAGTGTACTATAGTGTCGCGGAGGAACGAGGCGATCTATAAGACCTTAAGGGATTCGGCCTTAAACTTGTCTCCGTTGAAGGCTAGGTATATCTAGTACTAGAGTACGAATTATCTTAGCTTAGATCGTTAACTATAGAAGGTATCCGGTAGGTTAACTTAGGGTAGAGTAACCTTATCTTCCTTCTTACTAGTCTAGGAGCTTTCTCCTATAACAGATCCTTCCTTAGGGGCTATTGTGTCTTACTAATGATACTTTAAGTAAAGTGCTTAAAGTATAACGTTTCTAACTCGGTCGGTATCGTGAGTATAGACTCGTCAGTTAGTATCAGCTATAAAGTAAGGTAATAAGACGCTCGATTCTTAATAGGAATTAAGACGTTACAAGTAGTAGTAAACTAGGTGTAAACTTACTATTTGATTTAAGTATAAAGCTCTACTATCTAAGAAACTACCTACTTGTTATATAGAACTTCCGACTTCCTATATAAGCTGTGTAAGACGTCTTATAAGGCGCGTAAGCCCGTAAGCCTGTCTAGTAAGCTAGTATATCACGTGACCTATGTCCACTGTGATTAATATAACTATTATTATAACAATAAGCGTAGAGTATAGTACTACTCGCTAATTCGTACTATTCTCTTGTTAGTGCTATTCTCTTAATGGTACTATTAACCCTTTAGTACTAAATACCGACTGGTGCCATCCACTTAGTAGTACCATCAGTATTATAGTGCTAACCCGTGACTTGTACCAAGACTGAGCCTGGTTCGTGACAAAACGTTAATAGAAATGATATTGAAGATCGCTGAGATCAGTGAGAAGCGTTGGAGGCAAATCGAGCGGAAACAATTCTCGCAACTACTAGCGTGGGCTGTTAAGTAGCATCTTATATAGCAAGCAGAATTAGACTAAATCGATACTAGAGTCCTGAATAGACATGGAAATAGAGATATCTGTCTTGAGAAAACGGCAGTAACAGTGGAGGGCGTGATAATCTAGTAGCGGGATATGGCATGCATAATAACTAGGTTGAGATTCTATGCGTTTTCGTACTAAAGCTTTTAATAATAAGGGCTACCTTTATGAACTGTGCTATTTTGTTATCAAAGTTCATTAATAGGATGAAATGGCTAAGTAAAATAAGGAATTAAGAGCGTGAGACTAATAAGCCTCCAGTTCTTAATTCCTACATCAAGATAGTGTGCACGTATGCAAATCAACAACGTGCAGTATACAAGTAGGCGTAACAGAGGACGAAAGCTGCAGGAGCAGGACGTTGAACTTCATTAGTAGATGATAGCAAGCGCTATAAAGTAATTGCACTCTAACTCACAAAACTATGTTCGACGCATATTTATTCATTTTTTAGTGGCCCGGCTTAAGAATTAAGCCTTTGGACCACAACAGTTGAGGCACAACTGAAGGTACTAATAACATCAAAGACCTTGGGTAAGGCAAAGTTGTGGTATTGTTAACCTGCACGTGTACGTTTGTCTCGTTACTACCTACGTTTACTTGGATTCATGTGATGGAGGAAGCTCCCGTTGCTCTCAAGTAGCAGTCGGGTCGCCTCGCATCTGTCTGCTTCAAGTCACGATGTATTGCGAGTGGAACCAGCTTTTTCAGTCTCTGCTTTACTTTGTTCTGCTCTTGGCTGTATATTGGATCACAGACTCGTCCACTTTGGCCAGGAGACTGTCAAATTCGAGCCATTTGGTGGTTCTTCGCGGTCCACTTGATTTCAGGATGGATACACGACGAGTCTGTTTGGTATGATGTAGCATGGAGCTGAGCCGCAGTCGTCTTCTCTGCCCAAGAGCACACTGTTCGACGAACAGCCACCACATGTCTTTTTTTTTCTTAGTGTGAATTATGGTGCCACTAGTCTCTCAGTCTGTTGTTAGTTCACATGCGCGTCCCAGCTCAAGGCTCTGGGCTCTCAGCCCGACATACAGCAGGACTGGCAGAATCTAGAGCTGGCTCCCAATCAGCTGATGACGAGAACAAAATTTTATCACTATTAGTTCCGATATCATGTAGAGGCGCTTATCTTTTATGACTGAGTCAGTCTTCCTCCAAAGGTTCTATTGGATGACCAGCTGAAGTCAAGATGTTGCCCCCCCCCCCCCCGTCGGCGGAACTTACGATGGGTCATCGGGCTCGACCATTGTTACTTCCGAACTGGCAATTGATGCCTAGTACACGGACCTCTTTTGCTCTTGGTGTTTCTGCAATACTCTGAATGAATCGTGGTATCGGTTCTCTTCACTTCGAGGCTGTCCCCCTTGTCTGAGCATCATGCTCAGCCTGGCTGCTCCAGCAAGAATCTTTGTGGTCACCAGAATAGGTCAGGAAACCATTATCATGTCACCAGGTGACTTCGTTATCTCTGGAGGTATCATTGTTGTTGTACAGGCAGACTTCAGCGGCTAGTTTCAGAACGAGCCTATTTCATCAAAATCGTCCTCGAGTATCCATAACCAAGTCTCTACAGCATCACCCTTGTGCGGTGAACAATTTTCTATATCTGCCGAGGATTTTCTATTCCGATTTCCCACTCAAGCCTCGGTCTCTGGTAGTAGAGCAGTTGGCAGGTCGCCACGAGAGATGGCAGCCAAAACGAAGCAAACACCTCGGCTCCTAGATCGGCAATGCAAACACCAGTATGACCTTTCAAGCATGCAGCCACTCACTATGCTGTCCATCGGCTCCCCGAAATGTACTGTGTTTTGTGTTTCCAGACCTCAGCCTTGATTCCTCGGATAATGCCTCCGTGAAATGCATGGAACCAGTTGTAATCAGCTCATACCGCAAGAGAGGTTTACCTGGAGACATTGACCGCTCGGGTCACCCTACACTAATCTCCTTTGGTTTGTACATTGCTCTGCTTCGCCATGCGCAAAACGTTACTTGTTGTTGTACCCGTGTCACAGATTCAGCGGCTGCCAGCGCGGTAATGGATCTCCTGAGTGAATCTTAGCTACAACTACAGTCCGGTTGAATTTTTTCTTTTGTATAACCTGAGCAGGCAGAGGCAGATATAGACTTGCTGCCACGCTCATTGCAAACTTCTCCCCCATTCCTCTGTCTTTCAACCGCATCAAACACACACAAAATCTGCCGATATTCACTCCAGCTTCAAAATGGGGATCGCTCAGAACCTTCAGCTAGCACCACTCCAACCTTTCCCAGCCATGGCACAAAATCTGCTCCAACTTGCACAACTCCAGCAACCTCTCCGTCCTCAACGCATAGCTGCCTTTATGCCTCCTTTCGCCCCCCAAGGCCGTTCAAGCCCAATGATCGCCGCTGGCCTCACACCAGCTGCAATGTACCAGAACATTCCCGCATATCCCAATATCTTCGCCCAGCCGCATTGCCACCATCACCATGAACAATCCCTACCTTGTCATCATCACCACGTATCTGACAACCATTCCACCTGTCGCGGCAGGCGCGGATGCTCCGGCTCTCATGGCCACTCGAGTCTGGAGTCTCCATTCAATCGAGGCTCCCGTTCGAGATCCCGTTCGAGATCTCGCTCGCGGACTCGTCGTCAGAGCCGATCTCGATCTCCTTCTTTCCGAAGAAATAGGGTACAGATTATCAATAGCAGCGGGCGAGGCAGCTATCCTCTCTACTCAAGCTTGGGGACTAGCTTATATATCGCTCTAATAGATGAAACGCGATATCATCGAGGCCAGGGCAATAACACTATCAAGATACCACTTTCGGCTTCCTTGCGCGATATATGGGGCTGTTTAGAGGACTACGTCCAGAGTCGTCGGAATCTTGACGTTGATGTCTACTTAACCGATGGACGGCGTGTCTCTTTCGATGATATTAGCAGCATGAATGAGTTGAGGAATTACGGAAACATGATTGACCATTTCGTCTTGCGATAGTTGGGGTTTGATTTGGTACTTGGGACGCTTGTCAACTCATGAACGGGTATCGTGCGCCGTGTTTTGATTTTTTCGATCATTTTTCGTCTCTATTCCCGTATTTCGCTCACTGGTAGCTATATAGACTGTACAGATGCGGAGGTCCTGTGCGAATCGAAGGCGTTGAAATAGCAGTGGAAATTTCAGTCCTGGCAGGAATCCAAACGCAGGATCAAAACAGTGCGTAGTTGTCAACACAGTTGGCTTTTTGTGTCAATTTAAGTAACTAGCTACATGGAGCTCCTTGTTGAGAGGAAGGAATCAACCTTAATTTAGTAAACAAACGTGAAATCCTTATTTTTCGGATCAGTCTCTTCATCAAATGCTTTTTCGCTGCTCTCGACCCCATTCGCCTCATCCACAGCATCACTCACCACCCTTTCCTCTGTAGTCATCATCGAGCGATCAGCGATGACCGCTGATTTGGCTAGCTGAACACGTCGAGTAGCGTGCTTCTTGTTCAGGAACATCAGGTAGAGCGTTGTAAGGCTAGTTATTTCATGTCAGCCACAATTCCGAAGAGTTCACAGATATGAAGATGTATATGTGTGGGACTTACATAACAAGAATAACGAGCGGGACGAAAAGCACCAGATTTGATATCAAGCCACGTCTGTACAGCGGCTTCTCTGCAACAGTGTACAGGTGAGGGCCAATGATTTGAGAGAGTTAGTGATACTCGCTTGATAAGATATGAGATAGCGTAGTACGTATATTGCCAGCACTCTGTCCGATGAAGAGCATAGCTATGGTGATCTTTTTCTTGGTTTCGCCTGCGGTGTTCTGTGAGGACCACGAGTAGATCAATAGGGCTAGAGCTTGTCAGCTGGGAGGAACTCGGGGAGACAACCATGAAAGCATACAGATACCAGGATAGAACGAGATCTATGTCACAAGTCAGATGAGGCGCTGAGAAGCAGGTGTATCAAGGGCGATACTGACTAGATAGTATCTCACCAAAAGAGGACCTCGGTTACTAGGTGTGTAGGCGATACATAGTAGCATCACCATTCCGATGATTGGTGGAATGCAAAGAAGGGCAAGAACAGGACCATTCTTCGTAATTTCTTAAATCGAGTTGCCAACCATGCGCCACCCATCGTGGCAATGATCTGAACAGCTCCGAATGGCATGTTCAAGAGGATGGTCTTGGATTTATCAAACCCGAAGGAGCTGATGATAAGCGGGCCGAAGGTTGTGATACCGCCGCTTGGGATTCTGTTTTGGTCAGCGAGGGTCATCAGGCCGGAGGGCAGTAGGCAAGACTAACGAGATGGAGAATATCAGAGTAAACCAGAGCCAGGTCTTAAGGTCGATCATACTTTCGGTGACGTGTTCTCACTTCCATGTTGTTCAGACTACACCCATTTGGTTTGCCCTCAGACGTTCAACTGCTAACAATTTGTCATATTCGTTGAAAAATATCGCGCTGACAGGGGAGTCTGGCATGAACAGTCTGAATTTGTTAGGCTCTGAGTGCAGGGTTATTGGTACCAGATGATACTTACTTAACAATAAAAGAGAAGACCACTGTGAGGAGTCCGCATGCGAGAAATATGATCTGTGAGATTTTAAGTAAGCGTTCCAAAAACAAGAGGGCTTATTCAGCATACCTGATATGAATACAGAGTACTAGAATACATTATTTATAGCATGATCTCTCCCACCCCTTCTCCTACCTCCTCTCAATCTCCTCCTTCATCTCCCTCTTGATCCTTGTAATCGTCCCACTACCCCCATAAACAAGCGCCGTATACACCTGTGCAACACTTGCACCAGCATTTAGAATCTCCAACGCCTGCTTCCCATTTGTAATACCCCCTGTAGCGAAAATGACTTTCTGTTCATGTGGTTTGCTACTGATAGTATCCTTGACACCAGAGACTACCGCAGACACAGCACTAGTGACAACTTCTTTTGTAGATTCTGGCTTTTTAGTGATATTAGCACCAGGTTCGTCGCCTGGTAGCAGACTACCGACAGGTTTCGCCGGCGTCGATTCTTTAGGTTTAGGTTCTAGCGGGGGGCCTTGGTCGAGGAGTTGTCGGTATCGTTTCACTAGTCCGAGGGTTCTTTCGAACATGTGTGGACCAGACAAACCTCCTTTCTCGCCTAGAATTGAACTTTCTTTTGCTGTTAAGGCCAGGTCCTTAGGAAGGATGTTGTCTCTTCGATTTGTAGTATTACCAACGATAATGCCATCCACGCCACTTTTCCAAATCGCTTCCACAATTCCCTCAATCTGCTCATCTTGGTCTTCGTCGGGAGAGACTTTGACCATGACCTTAGGCGGCGATTTCCTCTTGGCCGATTTCGCTGCTTCAACTACACCTTCTAGAATCCTAGTCAAAGGTTCTACCCTCTGCAGCGTCCGTAAACCTGGGGTATTCGGACTGCTGACATTGACGACAAGAATATCCGCATAAGGAGCTAGCCTCTCAACGCAGTAAACATAGTCTCTCTTAACAGCCTCAATATCATCACCCCTTGTCTCCTTATTCTTAGCAACCTGCACCAAGAGCATCTTTCCCTCTGTCAAACTTCCAGGCGGCACACCCGCACCACCGTTCAGCACAAACTTCTCAGCATCATCTCCAATGCCATACCCACTGCGGTACGCAAAGGCGCGAACTCGTTCTCGCAACGTCCTAGCCATATCATCCGCGCCCTTCGAATTCAACCCATACCGATTGATCATCGAGTTCCTACTCGGCAGCCTAAACACTCTCGGCTTCGGGTTCCCCTCCTGCGGCAACGGCGTCGTTCCCCCAACCTCCACAATCGCTGGACCAAGAGCAAACAGCGCATCTGGAACCTCAGCCAACTTGTCTATCCCCGCCGATGTCCCAATTGGATTCTGCAGCTTCTGTCCATAAACAACGACACTCAAATCCGCCGCGTCTTTCTTCGAGGGCCGCTCTCGAGGGTGCAGGTTCAGAGAGTATAGAGCCTTGAGGGCTTTCGTGCCAGTGTGATGTGCGTCCTCTGCATCAGGATATACCCACCGCAGAGTGGGAACTACAAGCCATTGGTGCACGCTCGCTCGTGTGTCGGTGATGTATAGGTAGCTGAAGAGAGCGAAGAGTGAGATTGATGTGCCGTACAGCAGATTCTTGAGTCTAGTGACGAGGGAGCTGGCTTTGGCTGCTGCTGTAAACGCGGGGCGAGAAAACTGGCGCGGAAGGAGGATTGGGCGGGATTGAGCGAAGATGAGGCGTCGTGCTCGGCCTTGCGAGAACTGTAGGAGACGTGGTAATAAGGGCGCCATAGTTAAGAGCTCAATTGAGAGATTAGCACTCTTTGATTGTAAGTTGACGGGATGTTGAAACCAGGAGATGCTTCTGGTGCTTCTGTATTCTGGAGTCTGGGTCTGCCAAGGAGGTGCGGCCGCTACAGGCTGGTAGTCCTACATTATTATTAGGTCGCTGTTTGATCCCTCCCTCGGCCTACCCTCCGCCCTAGCTCGCCTACCTTAGGTAGCCTCAGCCCTGTGACGTTTAGCCCTATTCACGTGATCAGTCGATCACACTTCCATCCATCTTACATTGAGACTACCTAAGAGTGCTTGGACTGTGGACATTGATTCTTCTATCTAACAGAAATGACCTAAATATAAATGGGAGCATAACCTTATGAGCGGACTAGGCCGGATAGTCAAACAGTCCAAAAGGCCTGGGCCCATTCCTTCGAAATCACTGTTACTGCTGCCATCACTTTAGCGCCAGGGAGGTCAATTATGACATGCAGCGCACCATCTATCTTATATTGAGCGTTTTTTCCCCCGGAGAGTACGGACGCTGTCACGTAGAGGCCTGTGTGCCTTTACCTTTATATACCTTACCTTTACAGCTTTACAGCTCATTTAACACACGACTACACGCTTGTACGCTTGTAAAATGATACTTACAGACCTCCTTACAAATCAACTACGTTGTTCTAGCTGTAAATCGTTTCGCGAGATTACCGACTACCCTTTTAAGGCGACGGCTATTAATTATTAAAAGATGTGGCCAAACCCGTATGACAGTAAACTGCCGAGCTAGAGACCAGTCAGCAAGTACACGCAGCGAGGGAATCGGAAAGTAACATATAATATTAGTGACACCGTTCATAGCATACCAAGCAGCATTTCGATTCGTCTAATCGCTTCTTCACCACCACATCGTCGTGATAGCTAAGAATGTTGGTCCTAGAGGAACTCAGGAAGGTCAGTCTTGATCAAAAAAGTAGATTAGAGGTCCTGACCAACGGAAGCCTCGAAGCAACCAAGGAAGAATCGTACTAAAAAGAGTCCTTGAAAATTACAGGCAAGCGCCATACAACTCAGAACAGCCCCCTAGCAAAACACTATAGCACCTGCAAACTTGCCAGTGGGTAGTCGAACCAATACGTACGCAATCAACAGCTGCATGACGAGTTGGGCAATGTAAACGATCGAGCCGAGCCAAGACTAGTCTTCTCCCTTGAGCTTGGCATCTTCCACTAGACTGAACACACTGGCGTAGGACAGTGTTAACTTATCGAGTTGTTAGAGGAAGTAGACGCCAAGCATGATAAGGAGGATAGTGAGATCGATCTTCCTCAGGATCCGTTTGTTCTCTGCCTCGGTGAGAACGACATGTTCCGTGGTGTTATTGAGGAGTTCAGCAGCACGGTCTTTTCCTCGGGCTCTGGGAACATGCTTGGGAGTATCTTCAATTCTCTTGACCGTGTGTTTCTAGTCTGGCATTTGAGCTTTATATTTTGATGTCCTAGTGGCGATGAGATGAGTTTTGAGACGAACCACGCGTGCAAGACTTATAATATAAAGTAGTAACATAGCACGACTGCTCAAAGCAGGTATAGAAGAGACTGGCGTGTAGGCTTGACAGCAGCTCCATAGTTGGGGATCATGTCCATATCTATAGACAATCGCAGTCAGGTAAACCTGGGAGGGTGCAGAAGCGGTATCTGTCGGGTCTCGTTGTTAGGTCTGGGGAAAAGGAGGAGACGTGGACTGCATGCCCCGAAGCTTGTCTCGATCCATGGATCTCGATCTCAATACCTCCCCTCACCCACTCCTCTTCGGCGACTTTCGCCATAGTCCATCGACCTCTGGCTCGCTTCAGAAGACCTTCGGTGACGGTCATGGCGCCAAGGAGTCCTCGCTCCTTGAACTTCTCGAGATCACCTTTTCGATTAACATATCTGATCCTGTACTTCCGGTTGGATAGCAAAAGTTCATTGTTCGAGATGAACACATTTATGGTAGTTTCAGGGACATGTCGGATTGACTTCATACGAATACCAATCTCAGAATGTTAGAAATATGGGGATTGTAGGCGTAGACTCAGTACTGTAGGCCGTACTACTGAGTACGCTACCCCTTTATATAGGAGATTCTCTCTCTTTGTAGTAGCTCCTTATACAACTGTAATTATAACATGGTAGCAATTCCAATTGATCGAAAAAGACCTTAAAACTTTATTTTTATCAAGATCTCTACTTCATCAACTCTTAGTGTATCTGCTACTATACTACGATATCATCCTAATTAAAAGCACTAATTCCCCACGTCGCCAGAGCCTTAAAAGGCAAAACTCTACTAGAGTTCGATAACTTCTTTAAATAGGAGCTTAAGACTAAACAAGAGCTAACTAAGGCTAGTGTTCTTCATTATATTCTTACTGAAGTTAGCGTGCTAAATAGTATTAATCAGCAGAATACTCACGCTAAAGAAAAGAAGAAAGCTTTCAAAATAGTCGTTAACTTAATCTCTAAGCTTCTCTTTCCTAAGTATAGAGATATTATTAAACTGAACGACGCCAAGCCTCTCTAGGAAGCTATTTATATAAACGAAGGCAAAGTAGTTCAAGGGAGTCTTACTTTTACTAATATAAGAGACGATTTCTTCAAGATAAAGTTTATCCTAGGAGAGGAAACACTTTAGAACTATATTATAAGGCTCTTACTCTTCAAAGTAAAGCTCAGTAGCAATAGTAAACCTCTCACTAATAAGGATATACATCTTAAGCTATTACAGTCGTTACTAGCGTCCGGAGCTTGGATTACTATAGCACTTACCCTAGAATCGTAAGACCTAGATCTTAGAGATACTATACGAAAGCTTAACGAATATTAAATTCAATAGAGGGAACAGCTTCAACCTATAGCTACTAGTAACGCCGCGAACTACACGAATAGAAGCTATAATAGAAGGAGAGGTAGCAGAGATAGTAGAGGCCAGAGGGGTAGAGGCTACTCACGTAAGAGAGGTAATATATATGAGAATAGGAGAGGATAGGAAAGACGGAATAATAACAGCAGGGATAGTAGCTAATAGAGATATAGAGGGCGCGTGGAAAAGAGAGGAAATCGCCCTAAATTAGGCCGAAATCAGTGTGCCCGGTACAAAGGCTACGGCCACTAGTACGTAGACTACACGGAAGCTAAGAATACCTACGCGAGAGATAGCGCTAATAAAGTAGAGGAAATTAAAGACGATAATACTTATCCCGTGTTCCCTTCGGAAGAGATTTACTACACTAAAGACGTAGAATATACTTTATCAACAATCTCTATTACAGAATCTATCTAAAAAATCGACTCTAGCGCCACTCGCCACTTCAGTAGAGTTCTAGCTAAGTTTAAGCAACTCAAGCGCTAGCGCAACGCCAAATACGTTAAAACAGCAACTAATTCGTACTCGACAGCTAAAGGTTATAGAGATATTACTATCAATAGGTTAACCCTTAAAGACGTGTAGTATATACCTAACTTCGGAGCTATAAAGCTAGTATCGATATATCAACTCTTAGACAAAGGAATTAATACGGAACTAACTAAGATATCAGCAAATAAATACCGGAATAGTGAACTAGCCTTTATAGGTATAAGAAACAGAGGTTTATACATTCTAGATACGAATCCTTAATATTAAGTTACGTATAACGCAATTCCGTTAGACTTAAAGCCACTGAAGGAACAAATAAAGAGTTAGCTTAGCATAAAGGAAATAAAGGCAGATCTGCTCTATAGGTGTTTAGGCTATATAAATTACGCCTATTTAAAGAAACTGGTTACTCACAGCGGTTATAGAATAAGACCGATTTCTATTCCAGAGCTAAAGAGAGAGAGGTGTTACAAGGCTTACCTTGCAGGCCGTATAAAAGAGCACTTCAATAAGAAGTCAGACAGTAGAACTAATATACCTATTTATCGACTACACGCTAATATCTCTAGTATCTTACCACGCTTAATTCACAGCTATAAATACTTCCTTTTAGTAGTAGATAATACTACGAGGACGTGTTAGGTAGATCTCTTAGTTAACAAGTCTATATCAACTATTCAACCAGTTATTCAGAAATTAAAGCTACAGCTTAAAACTCAAGGGCAAAGCAAATTCCGCATAATTATCTACTAGAGGACTGATAATAGCAAGGGAGAGTTCAGTCCTGAGTTTATCAACTAGCTGTAAGAGAGTGGAATCGTTCCTGAACCCTCTCCTCCATATAAACACTCTCTGAATAAAGTCGTAGAGCGATAGATATATAAACTAGCTAAGATTACACGCTCAATCCTCTATAACACGAAGATACCCGAGAATATATAGTGCTACGCTATTAAGTAGGCGGCAAAGCTAAAGAACAAACGCCTAACTACTGCTTTACTATATAAAACAGCCACTAGACTCACTCTAATCGAAGTGTACAGAGGACGGCCTGTAAACCTCTCTAAAATAAGAGTATTTAGCTCTATAGCGTACCCTTTATATCCACCAGGGCTATATCAGGGCAAAATAAAGCAAAGGACGATTCCGGGGTATTTCGTATTAGTAGGTATAGCTAACACCTCAACTTATAGGCTCCTAAACATAGAAACCTTCAAGGAACTAGAAACAGCCGACTACGGCTTCAACGAGTATATAATATACTCTATACACACTAGTAGTAAGGAAACTACACTAAAAGGCAGTAATAAGGCAGTAGAAAGACCTCTGCTACCGGCTACCGGTCCAGCACTTACTAAGAGGCCAGCTAGGGGTACTAAAGGCTTAGAAAGACCTCTAAGAGAGAGGCCAGCTATAGAAGCTAAAAGACCTCCAGGAGAGAGGCCAGCTATAGAAGCTGAAAATCCTTTAAGGGGAAGGTCAGCTATAGAAAACATAGTAAGAGATACTAAGGGAGCGTCTAATCAACGCCTCCCTGAATAGACTTAACTAGTAAACACGTCTAATAACACTCCATTATTAAGATATAGTAGGAAACAGCGTAGAAAACAACACTTCAAGCAAGCCGCTCAGGTAATAACTACGAAGCTATACTCTCAGCAAATCCTTAATAAGGCACTAACCTATCAAATAGCGCTAATTACGCTAGAGGGTGAACCTATACAACCTCTTAAGGTTATAACTATCGCAGAGGCTCTAAGGGAGAATCCAGTGGAATAGAAGGCCGCTATTCTTAAGGAATTACAGGCTATATAAAGCGCTAGAACCTACAGAGTATACTTTGGTAAGCCTCCCTCCGGCTTGAAACTGATATCTTTAAGACTAGTTCTATATAATAAAATCAACTCCGATAGCTCTATAGCACAGCGAAAGGCTAAGCTTATAGTAAGAGGTTTTAAGTAAAAACACGGCCTTAACTACTTCAACACCTTCACGAGCGTTGTACGCTATTCTACCTTACGAGCACTACTCGCTATTACAGCTAAAAGAGACCTAGAGATCAAGTATATCGATATCAACACTACCTTCCTAAACGCGTACCTGAAAGAAGATATATATATAACGATTCTAAATAATAAGACGCCGGAGATATAGAATAAGCTTCACCCAGAGCTAAATAGAAGGAAAGATATATATCTAAAGCTCCTACGCTCTCTTTACAGCCTGAAACAAGTACCTAGGGAATAGTAGCTCCTTATTAAAGATAAGATAGAAAAGCTAGGTCTAGAAGCGTCAGAGACTAACCCTAATCTCTTTATCTTCAAGAATAGAGCGTACGTATTAGTCTTCGTCGACGATATACTAATTATAGGTAACCCTGCCGACTACGAATATCTTAAGAAACAGCTCTTAAAGACCTAGAAAAGTAAAGACCTCAGAGCTATTAATACGTTTATAGGCCTATAAGTTAAGAGGAACAAGAAGAATAAGACTCTGCGGATTCATCAAACAGCCTATACACAAAAGCTACTAGAAAGGTTTAGAATAGCCGCAGCTAGAGGCAATACCTTACCTGCAGCCGCTAGAACAGTACTAAGGGAGTCAGCTAAAGATAAAGGTATCATACTAGCCTCCCCTGAAGAGATCTCACTATTTCAGCAGATTATCAGCTCTCTAATATACCTCTCGAACCTCACACGACCTGATATTACCTATATAATAGGCCAGCTAGCGCAGCATATATTAAATCCCCTTAAATCTCACCTCTAAGACACGAAACCTCTCCTCCGATATCTACGACATATAGAAGGTAACGGAATAACATTTAGAATCGGAATAGAATACAGGGGAAAGCTGGATAATAATATATTCGATATTTAGACTAACGCTACATAAGGGACGGAATATAACAGGAAATCGTTCCAAGGATAGATAGCAAGGTTCTACAGGGGTCTAATCTCTTAGGCTACTAATAGGTAAAGGTCTACAGCTCTCTCCAGCTTAGATTCTGAGATAATAGCTACTAGTGATAGCTCTAAAGAAGTAGCCTAGTTACTTAAGCTATGGAAAGACCTTGATATAAAGCTATCCTGAATTCCTACGCTATATCTCGATAACGCTAGAGCCGAATCTCTCTTAAAAGAACGGAAATTCCATCTAAAGGCAAAGCATATTAATATCCGCTAGTTCTACATTCGAGACGATATAGTTTCACATAATAAGTTAGTAGTAAAACACGTTCCAGGCAATAATAACATAGCAGATACTCTTATGAAGGCTTTACCTTCAGAATCGTTTAAATGATATAAGATGTATATAGGGTTACCTGGTAACAACTGATTCTCTGATAATAACTCTAAGATTAATAACAGTTGGCTAATTAACAGTAGACCTGTATAAATCAAGGCTGTTTCTAGTAGTAGAACCTATAAAAAAAATAGAATATTCTTCGCGGAAAATCAGTCCTTTAATAAATATCTTCCTTAATAACAATATACAACTGCGAATCAAGTAAAACACGACACACAACTACTACACCTAATAGTTAAGACGAATCTTGTTCCGCGGTTAAAGAAAGAAGGAAAAGAAACAGAACTAGAAGAGGACGACCTTTATATACCCTAGAGGCTAGAGAGAAAGCTAGTAAGGAATATCTTAGTAGCTATAAAAGGAAGGTGCGAGGTAGCTACAAAGAAAGGTGAATAAGAGCGGCAGGAGCAGGAGATCATTAATAAGGGAGCGATTTAGGTGCACTCTTGTACCGTTTTATATGCCTTAATACTGCAAAGTTGCTAAACTCCTAGGAAAATAAGAGACGTAGGCACTATATATATACTAGTATATTACAGGAGTTAATAAGGCACAATCGAGGCTCCTTATATGATACAAGTTATCGGCAATACTTCGGCGATACTCTAGTATCACTTCGGGAATATTCAGCGCTATACTGCTTTAGAAGGCTCTATTTACTACAGATATAGAGAATAGGGGGGCTGTTAGAAATATAGGGATTGTAGGCGTAGACTCAGTACTGTAGGCCGTACTACTAAGTACGCTACCCCTTTATATAGGAGATTCTCTCTCTCTGTAGTAGCTCCTTATGCAACTGTAATTATGACACAGAAACCTTACTTTTGCTGAAATATGCCCAGAAAATACTCATATACAGCTAGTCTTGATATCCAAGCCGTCCGATCTTCTGTGTCTTTAAATCAAAAACAAAAAAAACCCACAGCGATATCGCTTTTGTTTTGGGATTATGATCTCGTTCACTATCCGAGTTCCACTCTGATTCACGGACGCTGATTTTCAAGAGCTAATAACAAGTGATTTGAATGTCTGTGAATCACAGTCGTTTATTATATTTAGTTAAAGGGAGTCACTCGGCCAGTCTACAAATGGTTCCCTTCTTCGACTTTGGTAATCTCGTCTCTCCAAAACTTCCTCGATAACTACAACAAACGCTCTGAATTTGTCTCGATTATTTTCTGCTCCCTTCAAAGCATAATAGCAGACAACAAGAACCCTGAATACACGCTCGCCATGTCCTAACACACAATTCACGACGACACTAGTCCCCTCCCGCCTCCACCAATGGGCAGCAGCCTCAATCTGAACTCCGATCTCAACCCTTCTCCTAATTCCTCTAACACTTCCAAATCTCTCAGTGGTACCCTGCCTCTGCTACTAACAAAATCTCACTACACCTGTAACCTGATCTACATCCACTCCGCCAAATGCGACGGCTGTCACACCAAGAAGCATAAAGTTCTTCAACGCTACAACAACTGCACCTTGTAATACTGCCAGGCCTGCATGCTGAAGGCCACGAAGAACAGTTATGAGTACGATAAGAGTAAATTGGATTGGGATCCGAGTCAGAAGAGTCCGACCTACAAGGACAGGAGTAGTATGAAGAAGAAGAGGGAGAGAGGGGTACGCTTGCCGCCGAAGAGTACGTTGGGCGGGTTTATAGTAGACGATAACAATTGTGATGAGGAGGAAGAAGAGGAGGGAGATGATGATATGTTAGAGAGTGGTGTGGCAGCTCCTTGTTCTCGTAAGAAGGGTTCGGCTTTAGCTTCTGGTACAAGTCGTAGTAGAGGTGGCTTGTAAAAAGGAACAACAAGGCTCAAAGAGAGATTGATGACAGAAGCCGAGAAGTATCATCCTCAAGTCAGTCTCCCTCCGCTCTTCAGCATTAATCTCGAGTTTGACGTTCTTCAGGTGTATGGTGATTCCTATGCTGGAAGGGAAAGTGGTCCCGACCATAGACGCTATGCCGGTGATGATATGTCCATTAGCAACAAAGATAGCTACTGCACACCTCTCTATCCGACTAAACGTCAACAAAAGGACGGTCCCAATCTTAAGCGCTCAATGGCACCCCAGCGTTCCGACGCCCCAAGAATTAACAATCAAGTCTTGAATAGTCTCCGCAGCGGCCGGAATCAGATCTCATCCTCATCCATCATGACTTGTCCAATCAACAAACTACAGCCAGCTCCGCGGCCTCAAAAACAACAAGCTTTCCTCGCTTCCGTCGCTTCCGTCGCGTCTTCCCGGCGAGAGTCACATTGCCAAAACAAAAGCAATCGTCGCTTAGAAAGAGTTCCACCTTGTTCAGAAGATTTGAGATTTGGAAAAGTTGGTGACGACTAGCATCTCCCTCTCCTCTCTACGCTCAAATTTCAACCAAGAGATGACTTTCGCCCGAGCTTAGATGAACAAGGATCTCACGTCCTCTAAATACTTGCTTGTGAGCATTGAAATACAGGAGCCTGGGTATAAACACAGAACAAGAAGAGACAGTATTAGAGGAGGCCAACAACTCGCATCGCACCAGAACTAGCGGCCTAGAATCAAAAAGATTATTGAAGAGAACTAAATGGTATATAAAGAAACGACCCAGACCCAAGATGACACTCGCTGAATCGATAACCCCGGTCGTAACTCAGGTCTTGGTTTAAAAGTTAGGAAACAACAGAAAATTATACAGACAACACCACCATTTCCCGCCTACCCCATTTTACAATCCACGCAATGCAACAAAAAAGACGATACAGCGACGGATGCTTTCAGCTCTGCTCTGCAGCTTCAGCTTCACAAAGAAACTCAAACCCATCAATCATGATTCGCCCTCCCTCTATTCATCATCCCTCCAGCACCAGCACCACCTGTAACCAAACCTCCCTTCACGAACGCCCCAGAACTAGTAGCCGGCCTCGCATCCCTCCTAAACACCGTCCCACTCCTCGGGATCTCCGGCATGCCACTCTCAGGCGTCGTAGCAATCTCAACCAGCGGCACCCCCTCCACAGGCACAACGCCATGTCCCTTCCCCTTGCGATCCCACTGCGGCGGCTCTTGAAAAGTCGGCGTGAAATCCAGGAGCGGCTTCGGGATCTTCTGGCTTGGTCCACGCTGTAAGTCGCCACCGCCGTTTCCTGCGGCCCCGGAAGTCTGTGGGCGTTTTCCAGCTTTGGTGGATTTCACGGAGAGGGTACGTTGATGGCCTGGACCGGGACCGTTGAGGAGTGATGGGCCTTCGATGAAGGGGCCTTGTTTTTCCTCGCGTTCTTTTGAGACTTTCAGACGTTGCGAGTAGGTGCGACCGAGGAGACCAGAGGACGCGAATTCGTCCTCTGCTTCGGGTGGGAGTTTGTAGGATACGGGTGGTGGATGGCGGCGACTCTCACGCGGGGAGAGGGAAACACTGTTACGGAGGTGGAAGGGGATCTGTCGGGGCATGTTCTCTTCTTCTGAATCGTATTCGTCAGAGCCGTTGTTGAAGCGATTCAGATCCATCAAAGGTTGGAAGGAGCCGATAGTGTAGGGATTTTCGTCGACGGAGACTTTGACTGCATGACCGGCCTTGTTTCCTGTTCGTCCACGCTCGGTGAGTTCCAGGATTTTCTTGTTTTCGACCTTCTTGCCCTCGCCCATTTTGTTTACGAGGTACCAACTTCGCCAGTTTTGAACTGCGTCGTAGAACTTTTCCGCTATGGAAAGATCGTCCGAGCTGAAGAAATGAACAAAGTTCTCGGTACTGAGGAACATGGTTGTCTTCTGCTGACTTTTGACTGCGTAGCAGTACTTCTTGGGAGGCTTGAGAACCTTTCGTGTCTGTTGAGCAGTAGGAGTGTATATATCAAAATCAGATAAATGGCATATGCTCAACACATCTTTATCTGACATTTTGGCACCAGCCTTTTTGGCTGTGTACATTTGGCCCGAAGAAAGTAATGTGACATATCTCTTGCTCCATTTGCCAGGTTTCTGGGAATGGTACATTAGGACTGTTACACTTGCTGGGGCCGCTTTAGGAATTGAAGAAGGCTCGAGATCTTTGTCGAAATTTGGAGAGTCTGAGTTGATGAGTAGCAAAGCGTTTTGGGTATCCCGGTCCCAAGAATTCATGATGTCTCGAATATGTTCGTAACGCCGTACTCGCCGTTCCAGACCGAGTTGTGTATAAGATTCGAGTAGAATAGCCGTAGATGGAATGATATTTTGTGACATGATGTTTGCAGAAGAGTATATGATATCGACAGGTGTAGTTTCGGGGGTAATGGGAAGGTTGATGGAGGATTGCATGCACCGGATAAGAACTCTCTGCTACCAGTCAGAAATACCCTCAAAATCAATATCAGTACACTTACCCGTTCTCCAGCATTGGAGGCGGATATCGGCGCATCTGTTTGAGGCACAATCCCACCACCACCTTGCTCAATTCCTCTGGGTAAATCTGTACTCCTTGAAACCTCAGTACTTCTCGGTGGCTCATGACTCCGCGACTTCGACATCGAATTCGTCCCGGATCCACTTCCAGAAGTTGTGGGAGGTGTAGTCTTCGTCGCGGCCCTCTTCCTCGAGAAGAAGGCAAACTTCTCCTTCTTTGGACTTGCCACACACGCTGGTAGAGGCGGGGGAGCAGCATCCAATTCGGCTTGGAGTCGTTCCAAATCTTTGCGCTTCTGCTCAGCTAGCAGTCTCTCAGGTTCCTCCTCTGCCATCCTCTGCAGCTCTTCTTCCTCCCGCCGCTGCTTTCGCAATCGTTCCTGCTCATCTTTTGCTGCTTGAACCTTGCGCTGCTGTTCCTCGCGCTCCTGGAATTCCTTGACTTTTCGGCGCATGCGCTCCTCCTCGGTCTCGCGTGGTCGCCCTTGTGATCTGCCATTATTTCCCCCCTGTCGCTCTTCTATACGGCCATTATTCGCCGGTTCCGTGACCTGTCTGACAGGAGTTCTGACATCTGCGCCATTTGTGTTCAGCGCCCTTGGCAGAGCTGGGACTGGAGGATTCGAGGAGTCTGCGATTTGCGCAGCTTTCGCAGGTACGACTGAGCGTCGGTATCTAGACATGCTTTTCGAGCGCGCGAAGTCATTGTTGGGGTTTTGTACTGGTACAGGCTCGGGTTCTGGCTCTGGCTTGACGGCCTGGCGTCTGTATCTAGAGTATTTGGTCGGCGGGGTCGACGACGAGGCTGGCTCTTTGTCATCAGGCATGATAGCCATGGCTGGGACACGGATTACGAGTAGAGCGCTGCTGTCCTGTGGTCCTGTTGTCGCAATAGTGTCGCGCACGGCAGGGTCATGGTAGAAAAAAAGTTGACCGTGGGCAGGGCAGAAAGTGAAATTGAGGAGTAAACAGGAAGACAGAAAAGGGATACTGTAGAAGTCAAGAGAGAGGGAGAGAGGCTGCCGAGCCACAGGGCTACTGTAAGACACGCGTGACCCTTCCGATTGTGATTGTGACACTAAGGTACAGACAGCACAGGTACCTGTACGAAGTACCTACCTAGGTACTCTTGCCCCTAGGCCCTAGGGGCTCAACCTAAGGTATCTATCTTCCAACCACCCGTCCCTCTTCCAGCTTAACATGCTAAAAGCGATCATATCATATAATCTACTGTCCGACTGTCCCTCTCCCCTCCCGTGCTAAAACTCCCCACATCATCTCTACCTTAGCTTAAGGTACGAAAGTACCTTAATCCTTAATCCACCCCAGAATTCGGGTACGGGAATCTCCTTGCCTTTAAACTTCTGCTCAGCCTCCTTTACTGTAGGACCTTTACCCTCCCAGCCACCCCACCCCTCTAGAACCTAACTTTGCCGACTTGCCCACGCACGAGGTAAGGTAATTCTAAGGTGCTCCCTCGAATCCTTGTATTGTACTGTAATACACCTGGCTTTCTTCACTTCCATTGTCAACCTCTCCACTTTCCCCTCTACACGGACCTGTCTTTCTAATTCTTTCCACTAAAATGTCAAGCTCGCCTATTTATTACTTGCAATATCTTGTGTTTTCTTGCTTGTACCGTACCGTACCGTACCGACAATCGAATATATGACAACCCCACTCCTCACTGCCTAGGTAGGTAACTGGAAAGGCTGTAAATTAGGTACTGTAATTTCGGGAGTACCACGCGTGATTCGTGATCCAACTTGGTGGTGCTTTGGAGACCGTACCTAGTAGATAATTTACCTTAGCCAGGATAGGTACGGAGTGTGCGGCGCTTATCTTCGGCCTACCGAAGGAAGGCATGAAGTTTGACACAGCAAAGCGACTCCGTGATCGGAGCTCGGAGTAGAATATGTGGATTTACCTTACTTACTCGTACTTACTAAGGTATAAAGCGCCGTCTATAACTACAAAAAAGCATCGAATGACAGCAGATATCCCTCTAGTTTCACTCTTACTGCTTGCTTAAGGTACCTTATTCTCTCCTCGCCTGCCCTGTTCGTCCCGTGTGTCCCTAGCTCGCTCGCAGATTAATAGCGAACTCCGATTGCACAGATACGATACGCCCGCCCTTGGATTGACACCGTGCTTGACACCTTGACATCCTATTGCCCAAGTACAACCCGACTCTACATTCCGTCATAAGTCTCGATTTCTCTGATAACTCCCCTCTTGTCTCTGCTGCATGTTTATACTCACACTTGTACTCTCACACCAACATGGCTCCTCCATCTGCAATCGCAAATGGATTTGAAGCTGAGGCCGTCACGGATACCGAAGCGATCGTCCTCCCCAACCCATTGACTATCAAGGCCGTTGCAGCAAGACGTATCAAAGCAGGCAGATTGGTCGCAAAGACTGCTGCTGCAACTAGCAGTGACCTATTCAAGACTCCGGTTAGTCCTAACATATCTTTTAAACGGCATAGGCTAATATCTCTAGAATGCTGGCAAACCTAGGGCAAAAAGATGGGATCGTCTGTTACCTAAGCCAGCCCACTCTCAGCCACTGCTTACATCTTACAGACTATCTCAGCGTTGAAGCTAAAGCAAGACAGCCCTCTAGCTTGAAAGGAGCAGCCAAATATCTCAGTAAACCTGGATTGATAACCCTCGGAGGCGGCCTTCCGCTAGCAGAGAACTTCCCAATCGAAGAGATCAGCGTTAAAGTGCCAACTGTGCCTGACTTCTCCGAAACCGAGACAAAAAGAAATGGAACAACACTAAAAGCTGGAAAGTACGATGTCACAGAGACAGATGATGGCGTATATGATCTGTCCATTGCGCTGAATTATGCTCTGGGAACAGGGTCAGCACAGATGATCCGTTTCGTTACTGAACATACGGAAATAGTCTGTAACCCGGCATACGCAGATTGGCAATGCGCTCTCACTGTCGGTAGCACATCTGCGCTAGATATTGCTATCCGGATGTTCTGTGAAAGAGGCGACTTTATTCTGTCAGAAGACTATGCTTTTGCCTCAGCGGTCGAAACAGCTGCTGCCTTGGGAGTTAGATTTATCGGAGTAAGTATGGATGCCGAAGGACTACTCCCCGAGAGCCTGGATGATATCCTGTCTAGTTGGGATGAAAAAGCAAGAGGCGCCCGCAAGCCATTTGTTCTCTATATTGTGCCTTCTGGCCAAAATCCCACCGGAGCAACGCAATCATTTCTTCGCCGAAGCGAGATCTACAAAGTCGCGCAGAAGCATGATCTCTACATATTTGAAGACGAGCCTTACTACTTTCTGCAAATGCAACCATATACTGGCCCTGACTCCCCAGATGTACCACCACCAGCTACCAACGATGAGTTCCTCAAATCTCTTGTCCCAACCTACCTAAGCATGGATGTCGATGGCCGCGTCATGAGGATGGACAGTTTCTCTAAGGTTATTGCTCCCGGCACTCGAGTCGGATGGGTCACTGCTTCAGAGCAGATCATTGAGCGATTCGTACGAGCCAATGAATGCTCTGTCCAGAATCCTAGCGGTATCTCTCAGATGGTACTGTTCAAGCTATTAGATGAGCACTGGGGTCACGATGGCTATCTGAAGTGGCTGATCGACCTCCGTATGGTATATACCAAGCGAAGAGATGTCATTCTTGCTGCTTGTGAGAAGAACCTACCTAAGGAAGTGGTCTCCTGGAACCCACCTGCTGCAGGCATGTTTGTGAGTTAGCCCTCTCCAATAGAACCCTGTTCAAAAGTCCAGACTAACGAGCGTAGCTCTGGCTCAGGGTTGATTGGCACCTCCACCCACACGCCAAGACCAAGACACATTCCGAGATCGAAGAAGAGATATTCCTCGCAGCAGTTGATGAAGGGGTTCTTGTCAGCAAAGGTAGTTGGTTTGTAGCAGACCGTGTTGGCTTTGTCCAGACGGAGATGTTCTTTAGGGCCACATTTGCAGCCGCTGCCGAGGATAAAATGATAGAAGCTATTGAGAGATTCGGTGCTGCTGTTCGTGCAAGCTTTGGGACAAAGTAGTTAGTCATTAGTATAGGGATAAAATTAACAATAGTCATCTGGCGCCAAACTCTTTTCTGTATATTTAGAGTATAATAGACCAAAAGATTTGCGGTTTCTTAACATAAGTGAGTCTGTCGTATATTAATAAGATAAGATAGTAGTCTTAGTACCATGCGAATACAGTATATTAAGACTGCGCTAAGTGTAATGTTCTTAGGATTTTCATTGATATATTTGTTATAACGACATAATACAGATTTATTAGTACTAGTTATAATATAAAGTAGAAATAATAATAAGAGGAAAAGGTTCTTAAAGAGCCTTAAAAATAAGTAAGATAAATATAACTACTATTAAACTAGGCTTGTCCTAGGTTTATTATATAACTCTAGCCTTATACTAGCCTTATAACGTTAGCCTTACTATTAGTATCGTACTAGTAAACAAATAATAAGTATATATTAATATATATTAAAATATAAGGTTTAGTTTAAAGGTGTTTAAAAGTGTATATTATAAAGAATATCTAAGGGTTAGAATATATACTATTTTTTTAAATAACTTTCAGTTTATATTTAAAAAGAGTTTATCTTTTAACTAAAATTACTTATACCTTTTAATTACCTTTTATATTTTTATAGTATAATTTTACAAACTAATACTAGTAAAACTTCTTTTAAAAATAATAAGTTTTTAATAATTATAAAAGAAATAAAATAAAAAACGTAAATATAATAAAAGGAACTAAAGATATAATAAAGTAATAAATATCTGACTTATATAAATCAGTAGTCGGAATATCTCTGGTTACTATCTGAAAGTATTCTTATTAATAAGCGAGGATATAAATAAATCGTAATTTATTATTAAATAACGTCTTGAAATATATAAAATATATATAAACTTGTAGAGAATTAAATAATATTAATGTTAAGCTACTATAAGGCTCTAATAAGTCGAAAAGCCGATGTTTATAACGGCATAACGAAGGTTTATTAGTAGCTATAATATAAAGTAGAAAAGATAGCGAGAGGAAAAGGTTCTTAAGGAGCCTTAAGAATAAGTAGGGAAAATATAGCTACTAGTAAACTAGGCTAGTCTTAGGTTTACTATATAACTCTAGCTTTATAGCCTTACGATATTAGCTTTACTTACGTGACTTACCTATTATAATTAGTCTATTATATTACTCTCCCTTTTAAAGAAAGCTTATCTTTAAGCTATAAAAAAATTTCCTATGATTTACTTTAGATATAATAGTATTATTTACTAGTCTATTATACGTATTATCGTCCTTTACCTCTTAAGTAGTTAACTATTTAAAGAGTAGCTTAAGCGGTCTTAGTTCTGTAAGGTAGGCCTAATAAAAATCCTAAAGTTTATATAGATAAGTTATAAAGTCTTTAGTAAAGTAGAATTTAAGGTTAAGATTAAGTCCTTTCTATCTAACTTAGTACTATAAAGTCTTATCTTATTTAAAGTATACTTTTAAGATATCCTAGACCTTTTATTCTTATTTAATATCAACTTAAATAGGTTCTTATTCTTATAGTACTTATTTAAGTAACAAGTTATTATTATACTACTAAAGCTTATCTATAGAGAATATAAGGTAGACCTTAATTAAAGCTAAGAGATCTAATTAGAATAAGTAGCCTTCTTTTTTAAAGACCTTAAATAAACTTACCTATTAATTATCTAGCTTTTTCTTTAGGTAATATATCTTTTAGTTTCTTATTATTACTTATATAAAATCGCTTACCTCTTAGTCGACCTCTTAGCGTGACTTATTTATATCATATTACTTCTTTTCTTATTAGTTATAAAGGAACTCTTAAGCTTTCCTCTAGACTTATTTATAATAATAAGTAAACGCTTATATATTAGCGATGTTTAGCTTTTTAGTAACTATTTATTTAACCTCTAGCTAAGGCTTATCTTAATCTTAACTAGTCCTTAGCTTATACTTATACTTTAACTAGTATAAGGATATTTCTAAAGACTTATATAAAAGGGTTAGCTAAGCGTAGTCTATTATTAGTAGGAGTTTAGACTAATTATCTTAGTAGTAGTTAATAAAAAGCTAGAGATACTAGTCTAGGTATTAATTTATAATCTTTGTCTAACTATCGATCTAAGTGTAGTAGGTAGTAAAGAGCTTAACTTTAATACTAAGAATATAATAGAACTTATTCTAAAAGAAGGAGATAAACTATAAGCTTTTATTTAATATTATTATTTTTAAGAGTCTATTAAACTTTTAGTAGTTAGAGATAAATAGTTATACTAAGTCGCGAGCTATATATAGAGAGAAATAAGAGATTAACGTTACTTCTTTAAAGAAATAGTTTATTATAATAAGTATAGAATTATACTTAAACTTATCTTTTAGTACACTCTTAAAGTCTATAATTAAGTGCTACTATAAGTAGTTAGGGATTAGTTAAAAGTAGAGGTACCTTAGTATCTTATTTTAATAATAGTTCGTATAATTATAAGCTAAGTAGTTTAATATAAACCTAGCTATATCCTTAAGTATACTAGGCTAGTAGTACTTAGTATAAAGTAAGCTGAATATCTTAGACTTCTTAAGATAAGTTATAGAGATTTAGTTATAAATATACTAGATAAGTTATATATATAAACTATTTATATCTAAGACTTATAATTAACTTTTAAATAAGAGTAAGCTATCTTCTTAAAGAGTATACTATAAATCAGGTTCCTTTAATTCTTCTTATTAAACTATTAGAGCTTTATATATTTAATTAATATAGATAAGCTCTATAACTAGATTAATTTTATTATCTAGCTTAAACTTAACTAAGGTTAAGTAGTATATATCTAGAAGCTTCTTTAGTTCCTTTAGAATACGTAAGTTTAGCTAGCTTAAGTAGATTAAGGTTTAAGTATATAATTTATCTTTTATCTTAATTTATCTATTAATATCTTATTCCCTTTATAATAGCGTATCTGCTATAGTATTTTAGTTTTCTAGGCGGTATATAATAGTAAAGTAGAAGTCTACTAGGATCTCTGATTAATAAGCTTATTATCTTATAAGCTTCTTAGTAGTTATAAAGTATTCTAACGCTTTATAATCTAAGAACACTTAGAAACGTTAGTATCTTATTTATAATACTAGCTCTGCTTTTTAGTAGGTAAGAGAATATATAATAGTAAGTATTTCCTTATTATAGATATTATAGTTAAGTTTAATAGGATTTATTATCTTAGATAAGAATATAACTAGGTACTAATTATTACTATACTTCTGTGATAATACTCTTAAGATTACTTTATTTAAAGTATTAGTCTTAATCTACGTTTTATATAATATATTATAATACTTAAGGTAGGCAAAGGATAGAATAGCCTCTTTTAAAGCTTAGAATATAGCTAGCTAAGTAAGTATTATCTCGAATAAGACTAAGGCCTTAGTAAGTTCTACTAGTAGTTTAGTGACTTTACTATAATTAAGGATAAATTTTTAGTAAAAGTTATAAAACCCTAAGAACGACTAGATACCTCGGACTATTATAAGAGGTTCTTAATTATTTATATATATTATCGCCTTAGGGTTAATTTTAATTCCTTTAGTAGTAATATAAAAGCTAAGGAATTTAATCCTCTTAATATAGAATTCGCTCTTCTAAATATTAGTAGGGAGCTTATATTATTATAAGCGTTATAAGACCTTCTTAATATATATCTTATATTTTAAGGGGTCATTTAAGTAGATAATAATATTATCTAAGTATATAGTATAGAAATCATCTAAGTAGTTAAAAAGTATATTATTTATATACTACTAGAACGTAGTTAAGCTATTTATTAAACTAAATAGTATTACCTTATACTTATAGCTCTTATATTAAGTGCGGAAGGTAGTATATTCCTTAGATATAAGGTTTATTCAGATCTAGTAGAATATACTTTAGATATTAATTTTAGTAAAGATCTTAGCTTATCTTAACTAAGTAAATACCTTATTAATAAGGGGTAAGGGATACTTATCCTTTTAAGTGATCTTATTTAACCTTTAGTAGTTAATATAAAATCATAAGCTCTTATTAGGCTTCTTTATAAAGAGAGTCAGATAAGTAAATAAAGTATAGCTTAAGATAATAAAGCTCTTATCTAGATTCTTCTCTAGGTATTTCTTTATTACTTAAAGCTTTACTTTACTTTACTAGTATAAGAGACTATACTTATAGTTAATATCCTTTTTTAGTTTAATCTTATAGTCTAAGCTTAAGATAAGGTCTAGTAGAGAGTTAGTAGTTATTTTTAAAAAGGCACTAGTGAACTCTTTATATTAGTAGAGGAGCTTCTTATTTAAGATATTCTTATATAATTCCTTAAGTTTAAAAGAACTTTATAACTTAGCTTTTTAAGCTACTTAGTTAATTACCTTATTAATTTCGTTTAGTATTACTATAAAGAATTCCGATTTAAAAAGCTATAAGATATAGTAAAATACTATAGCGTTAATCTTAGTGATATCTATCTTTAAAAGGGTTTTCTTTTTCTTAGTAAGGTACTAATAAGAAGATATTATATCTTTTAAAACTATAATAAGAGGTTTATATAAAGTAAGGTTATATAGTTCCTTTTTTATCTATCTAATCGAGTCTTATACTTAACTATTATAGGTTAAAGCAGTGGGCTTTTAGATAATCCTTTAATTTTCCTAGTGTTATTAGTCTTATTTCTTTTTTAACTAATAGTGTTTCTTTTAGTTCTCTTACTTTATTATATAATATCTTTAAGAAGAAAGGGATAAGTATTAAGATTTAGCAGATAGTATATTTATAAGGGCGGATTCTTTTATATTCTTTATTATCTAGATTATTATTTAGTAAGAGGAGAGTCTTAGAGTATCTTTTATATTTATAGCTACTTAACGTTAGAATATATCTTATTAATTAGTTACTTATATCTATAATAGGTTTAATAGCTATAGGGTATCTCAGGAAAGAGGAATTAAATAAGGAAAGACTATAGGGATATCCTTATTATATAGCTAGATAAGATAATAGTTCTTTATATTTAACTAAATATTAAAGTAAGCTATTTAAGTCTATCTTAAAATAATCTCATAATTCCTAAGATCTAAGAGAATAAATAGGATCTTCTTTTAAACGTGTTAGTTAAT